AACCTTTTTGGTTCCAATTTTTTCATTATAATCATCTTCCATGGTCCACTCTTTCTTTCTCTCAGCACTCCCACTCCCCCAAAAATCAATAACAAAGCTTTTGGAAAAAACATTTTTATTTTTTATTTTTCACAAATTTTGAAACTTTATTTTTTGTTTTTATTTTTTCATATTCATTCTTTGGGACCTATTCTGCACCAATTCACCAAGTCTGGTGACTTGGATTTTGTGCTTTGAAGCTGTAGAACCCAAAACAAGCAGCCAAAAATAAAGGTCCACCCACTGTACATCCTCCAAAGAGTCTAAAAATGACACTTTCAAAGTTTTTGGGTCTGAATAGTGGACAAACATTTGGCCTGCATGTTCAACTCAGCTTTTGCAGGCTGGGTGTTACAGAAATCTGGTTTCCCCAGGCTGGTGAAAAAAGAATTCTTAAGCCAAAAATTAAGATCTAAGAGCAACCACATCAGACAAGGATTAAGAGTGGATTAGTGCAACTAATCTGAGTCCTCAACCGCATTGGGTTCAATATAATTGGACTAAACGCTACTCCAGATTAGGATTAGAGCTAAGTAGGACACTAGCAAATGTTAGCAGTTGACATGTAGCAAGCTTCAATCAAACCTCAATGCAAGCTGAGGTCATTGTGCTGATGTAATTTGGTGTTACAGCCCTGAGACTTCAAAGGGGTGAACCAGAACAAAGTACAACAAAAGTGTGAGTTCAACTCAAGTTCAGTGCAGAGTATGGTCTGAGCTCTTGCATGTCAACTGACACCAGTTGCTGGACTTTTTCTTGCAGTGGGAGTAAAGTTACTCCTCACTAATCCTGGGATTAAGGACCATTTGCATGCAACCCCTGGCTACTCCCAGCCCAGGTTTACACCACACTGCTGCGGTTGACAACCCAGAGTAGCTGTAATCCCGGATTAAGCTAATCTGCTAATCCTCAACTTACACCTGCACCAATGTGGTTGCTCCAAGAGCATCCATATTGGTGTGCAGATTAGCTGCCTAATCTAATCCTCCCAACCACAAGAGTTGGGATTAATTTAGCTCCGGCAACGCTGCAACAAATACAATACACAGTTTGTATCACGAGGAATTGTACCAACATATATGGTAAAGAGCCAGATTAAATGAATAGGACTCTTGATAGAACCACATTGGTCATGAAAAAAATCATATCAAGACCATGATACATGAAAAAATACATGCCAATACATTGCAAATACTATATTTGTTGCAGCGTTGGCTCCAGGGTCAGTTTTGGAGCTAATGGGGACTAAAATTTATACCCCACTAATCCTGGGATTAAAGAGGTTGCTAATCTTCACTAATCCGATCAACTGATGTGGATGCTCTAAGGGGTGTAAATTAAATTCTGGGAGGACTGTAAACCACCACAGGAGGTGGAGGACTTCCTGTGCAAACTGGAGCCCTTGCAGAAGTCAATCTAGACTTGAAAACTCTAGATTCTTGCAGGGGAATTTGGTTTTTGAGGCTCTAGATTGGTTCTGGGGGACCTGCAGATTCCAACAGGAAGTCCTCCAGTGAAGGACTTCCCGTCAGATCTGGGACCCTCACAGAAGTCAATATAGACCCAAAATCTCTTAATTCTTGCAAAGTAATTTGAATTTTGAGGCTCTCAACCAGGTCTGGCAGACCCACAGGTGTTGACAGGAAGTCATCCAGTCATCCAGTGAAAATATTGAAAATGGGATCCAAAGAATGATTATGAGAAAAAATTTTCATCATTTTTTGACATGTGTCAATCTTTTCCAAAAAGAAATCAAGTTAACAGGAAACATCAAAGTGTTGTTGGTCACTTCTGCCTGACAACATTCAAGGCCAACAAGTTACATTTCCAACAGTCCCAATAGTTGGATCTCAGATCCTGAAACCAGTGCTAGCAGTTTAGAATTCTATGTAAAAATACTTGGTTGCATCATGAGTCAGGGTCAGGCTCATTATTCAACAAGGGACCAGAGTTGCATGACCTGTGCCTCTGGTCGATGGCTTTAGGTTTATTAGGAACCCAGTTGGAAGAAACGCAATCGGCTGAGAATTGCGCTGACTGAGGATGGCATTCAGTTGTCATTGACAGGCAAAAAGAACGGTATGTATCATAGCTTTGGCAGCTGACAAGAGCTGAGAATTTTGGTTTGGAGGGGCATGTGTCATTGCATAGGTGAGGGGAACAGGTCAAGGATTTGAGAACTAGGCGTCTCGCAACTCAGCCAGACGTCGGACGGTACTGTGGAAAAGTAGTGGGAAAGAAAGAGACGTGTCAGACAGGTTAACCGAGAATAAGTGCTCCTAACAGTATAGTACGGACCTCCTGACAGTGGCAGCAGCCGTTGTTGAGACGGTCCAGGCACCACCAGCAATAACCTTGCGGCAGGACCGGCAGTCCCAGATACCGACGGCAGATCGTTTGACGGTGTCCTGAGATGACCAAGAGGCGTGAGAACAATGTGATCGGATACAACGTTGATGAAAGTTCAGCTGACCTTGCCGCAGAAAGTGCATGTGTAACGGGCGTGTTGGGTCACTTCCATCTTCTTGATTTGTTTACGGAGAGAGGCACCATATCTCTGCAAGACAATGTTATGTATCAGCCGGTTGTTGGCAGGTCGTAGTCATGAAGTCTGGAATCAGCGAGATCTTGAACCAACCGTTCCGTATTTACCGGTAACTCCGACCTTTTTTGTTCGTTTAGTCTGTTGGAAGAAAAATCATCATTCGTGAGCCGTGGCCTGAGGATGAGTAGGGATGCGACTGACCATGTTGAAGTCTTGTTGGTGTTGATGGTGATGGGCCGGCGAAAAGGGGTGGACCGGTACACTTGAACGACGAGGACAGGCAGTCGGCCGCGGTGGTTGCCCAGTTAGGGTACCGGCCCGACAGTCTCGGTATATCCGCAGTCTCACCACAGGGGCTGTGCTGCGCACAAAAGGGGGCCTCTTGCGCGTCGCTCTGCTCTGGCCGCTGGGCTGGTATTCCCACACAGCGTGTCCTCAACAAGGAAGACTCAAGCCAGCCGACATCTTACAACCTCCACTATGAGCTCCGAGACGCCGAAGAAACCTATGTCGAAACTCCAGCGACGCATCCAGGCCGGACTGGCAGGTGCTAGTTCCTCATCTGCCTCGATTCAAGCAAAACCAAGCACAACCGAAGCTGGACCGATGGAAATCGTCGAAACCAATTATCTCCCTGGGGTCGATTCATCAGCATCATCATCATCTTTGACTCGAGATTTTTCATTCTTACCGACCCCCTCGAGTCTCTATGCACCGCCTTCCAACTTGGCCAATGCGCTCCCCCGTCCAGATCGTCGAGCGAACAAGAATCATTTTTTCTCTTTGCCTAAGGAGCTCTTTCTGCAACCTTGTGAACCCAACGCTTTTCAAGGCCCTAGCCCAGATGACGAAGTTTTGATCGCTCGTCAGGGAACCTCGCTCGGTGGCGCCATTCGAAGATCGTAATTTGAGACTCAGAACTACATCCACCACGTTCCAGTGGGTTTCATGATGATGTGTCCTCATCAAAACTTCAACTCGCGTGTGGTCCCAAGCTCCACGAATTACTGAGCAGCGGAACTTGATCCTAACGACTACACCCGTCAACAGATACCTTTACTGAACTAAGTGAATGATACGCTAAGTCTACCTGCTCTCACACGGCGACCAACGTCCTGATTGGTCGGCTAGGGAAGTTGCATGCCCCGAACGAATCCAGAAATTCAACTCCTCGTACCTCAACTGACTACCTACATCACTGGCTGGTCCTCTGACTCCTTCAATCGGTACACCAAGACCATGCAAGCCTTCATCAATATGCTCTCGGATCAGAACAACGCCACACCCGACCTCCAAGACCACATGGACTGATCACATCTGTAAAACGATAACTACGGTTTACTTATCATCACAATCAACCGATCCACCATCGTGTCAAATTGTCAATTACTTTATCTCACCTTTTGTCTTTTGTTTTTATCACTGGTCGTCTACCAGCTTCCCATCTTCCGCTTTGTAGTTCCCTTCCGTGGGCCCTCTTCGTCTTCAAAGAGCACAGGAGCAGGTTCTTAATTCTCTCCGTTGCAAAGATTCTACTGAAGTTGTTCCCGAACTATTATTCCGCTGTAATATGATATGCCCATTAGCTGAAAATCATTCACTATTGCCAAGAGCGCGATTGATGCTGGGTGATATGAATGAATCGCGTTACTTCAATTTCGGACAGTCTTCTCCACACCTGTGTTTGATTTCTAGTGTAAGATGGTACAACCCTTGCACTTTTTGCACACCGTAAAGTTGGATTTTTAATGGCTTGGAGGTAGAAACCTTGAAGAATTGAAGGGTCGTCTTATGCGGATGTGCTTAGAAAGGAGCTCGTGGATGTGGGAATCCTCATTTGGAACCCTCCGCAGACCGTCTTGCGTGCGGTCAATCCAAACCATATATTTCTCCACAAGACAAAAGCTTCGCAGATGAACAATACCTTCCGGACTTTGGCTGTTGCTATCCATAGGGTAAGTTCCAAGCTTGAAACAATTGATTCATCCTGTCAGCCGATTTCGTTCACATAGCAGAGTACATAGGATAAATTCTCGAGCATAGATTGCCCAGCCAGAAGGGAACCGCTAGGCAGCATGGAAGCGAAGCACCATAGCATTGCCCGAGTCTAACCAAGCCTCTCGTAGAGAACCCAGCTGACAACCTGGCAGTGGCAGGGTCTCTGTCTCCCTCCCTGACGAAAGGTTGCGCTTGTGGCCCTGCCTTCTAGCAGGCGAGGGACTTGTTGTTAAAGTTTGAGCAGTCCTTTATCGGGTTTTTGAAAAGAAGTGGCCATGGCATTTGCGTTGGCCCGGGTCCACCGTAAACTATGCTACATGCCATTAGCACGTTTGACAAGCTCTATCTAATCCATCAGACCTGTGAGCTTCTTTCGTATAAGAACCGGGGGACTGCTTGCCCCTTTCATTCTCCTCACCCAACAAGCCTTCCAAGCAATCAAGCGACCCTGTAGATATACCAACACCCTAACGACTTTTTCCTCAGCAAAACCCATCAACACCTTGTTCATAGAACCGTTTCTCCATACCCGCCAACACATCAAACCGTTACATCCCATCCTCCCAAGACCTTACCATGCAATCAGTCATCGCCATCCTCGCGAGCTCGATCTTGATGCTGTTGATCAGTGGACCAATGCATGCAGCCGCCAAGAATATGATTTGTCCCAATCGCGACAACAGCAATGGTTACTGCGTCCAGATGGATACAGGAGGTGAGTTGAGGATCTTCTTCAAGATACTTCCTCTTTTTGTCTTATCTATCTGCATCCGCATCGCCAGGGCTGATGTCGATACTCGATACAATCCTCCCAGCCCCTATCATCCCCAAAATCCGAAATATTCCAGGCGGAATGTTCCCGACATTTTCCTGCGCTTCGGGCTATCTCGCGCTATGTTGTGTGAGTTGACCTATTTCATTCTATCATCTTCTATATAATACTTAAATTCAAACAACTTGTACTAATGATCTTCAATTTGATGGCTTTTGTCTATCTAGCCAAGCATACCTGTCAAAGACCTCAAGCAGTGCAAGTTCGCCTCAAGCTGGGAATAACACTTCATTTCTATGATCGTGTTTATTTTCCATCCTAACCTGAACTGCCATGTCTAAACCTGATAGTGACCACTCTCCTGTTCCTCTGTCACCAATTGCTTCTCTACTTTGAATTTCACTCATGTTGTACATATATAAAATAGTCCTTAAATCACCTAGTACCAGTTGTATTTCCCTTTTTCCTACACTGAGGAATTTCACAAGTGTCTACCTTTTCACCCACAATAAGGGTGCACAAAATTGATTCTTAATCCACATTTACCTAGAATCATGAAATTTTCAAAGGTTTTGGGAAAAGCCTCAAATTTAGAGAGATCTGAAGTTGCATTGAGTTGATATTTGGGAAAACTTGGTTTAGGAAGTGGCTTAAAAATCAATTTTGAGCCTGATCCATTGTGTTTGTGCAAATGCAACAAGCAAAATGAAGCTGTGTCTGTGAAACATATGATTCATCCCAACTTATCCAAGTCCCTTCCTCTTGTTGATGGAGTGTTAAACAACTTGTTTTATTCTGCCAACCAGAGGGAGGGACTTTTGTCTAGAGTTGACCCGCCAGCCTGAGTGCATTAGGATTTCTGGCTGGGAGTTTTTATTAATTACTGTTGTTCCAACCTAGAGAATGTTTGTTGGTACCTGGAACTGCTTAGCTGGTACCAACACTGTAAGTGGTACAATACATGTACTTGTAGTGTACTTGTAATGTATCAATTTTATCCAGATAAACTGTATCAGTATTGGATTGGGATCTAGGGAAGTACAAAATGTATCAGATACATTGTACTGCCTAAGAGACCCTATCCAGGCCCGTGTATCTTTGTTTTGATACAGTTCAGGGCAATAAGATTTGTATTGCAGAGGTTAGCCTACCTAGATGATGTCATGATACAAACATCAAAGTTCAAAGACTCAAATCCCTCATCCCCAGGTCACATCTCAAACCGATCCCTCATCCCCAGGTCACATTTCAAAACATGGCCCATTCCACTCCTCGTCATACTCCGACTCGCAGTCGTACCCCTTCTGTTCCCCCATCACAACGTTCCACCCGCATAGTTACTCCTCTTCGCACCAATGCCAGATATGTCCAAACAAATAGTGACTGCCGTAAATTGTTATCTCAAGATCCGAGAAGTTCCTCTGACTCTGAATCTAGTATCTCCGGGATTCCCAAGCCATCAAGATCCAATGCCAACCCTCGGCAAAATCAAAAGAAAAAAACCAATCCAACGAACAAACCAACACCAACCGGACTCAAAGTGCCATGGATCTAACACAGGATTCCGACAAAGAGAGCTTCAAAGTCACCAAAAATTGAAAAAAAACGTGCACAAAATGACTCCGAATTTGGCTTAGATGAAATTGAGCTTTACTTTCTTGAACCATTCTATGAGGAGGGGGAAGTAAGTACTAATTGTCTTTGAAATATTTTTTGTCTTGATCTTTGCTTACTGATTCAATTTTTTGCTTCTTTTTCAGACAAAGGAAGGGCCTCCAATGCATTACAAATGCAAATGGTGTGGCATTCCCTATAAGAAAGGTGATGGCTCCCGTGGAAATCTAGTTAAACATCGTGATGGTGCCACCAATCAATCTGCCTGTAATAAACGAGCCAAGGCAATCCGCTCAGGAGCTAAACTACCACTAACTGCAAAAGAGATTGCCTCCAAAAAGCGCTCCAAAGAATCTGGCACCGCAAACTTCATACATTCAGCAAAATTTGATCCCAAGATACTCAACCAACTCATTGTTCTATGGATCGTACAAAGCTCATTGCCATGGAGCCGAATCGAAGATAAACTTCTGGGTCTTGCCTTCCGTTACACTTGACCAGGACTCAAGCTCAATTCTCGTGTCTGTTTGATCCCAAGATACTCAACCAACTCATTGTTCTATGGATCGTACAAAGCTCATTGCCATGGAGCCGAATCAAAGATAAACTTCTGGGTCTTGCCTTCCGTTACGCTTGACCAGGACTCAAGCTCAATTCTTGTGTCTGGGCTGCAAGTGAAGCACACTCGCTGTACTGTAATTTACAGGAAAAGGTTGTCTCGATGCTCCAGGTAAGTCATCCTGCTCATTTCATTATCTCACTGTTACTCATACTCATAATTAGACTCCTATTTAATATAATCTGGACTCAAAAATCAGTCTCATCCACGATGTTTGGACGACCAAAGGGAACCAACAGGCTTTTATGGGAATATCGGTCGCTTATGTTACCAATAAATGGGAATATAAGATCTTGCACCTTGGTCTCAAATATATCTCGTGGAACCACAAGGGGAAGTTCTTGGCTGTCCCCTTTGTGAACATACTCAAAAAGTTCTCGCTTCATACCAAGATAGGTGTTAATTCTGTTATACTTCTGATTTTCTTTTTATCGATCCAAATTTTTCTGACTTCTGTTTTTTTTCAACACATCTTAGCACAAACCACTGACTCAGGATCAAACAATCACACCATGGCTGTTGAAGTGGATCGCTTAATCAAACGAGACACCGGATTCAATCTTGATATCGCAAACAACCACATCCATTGCTTTTGCCACAAAGTGGCACTTATACTAAATGCTGGTCTCAAAGCGCTCGATGTCGGCACCGTTGGGTTAACCAAGTCAAAAAAAGCGACTCTTGGTTTTACTCCTGGCCTCGCGTGCATTGTTGAAGCAAACAAAGAAGATTCTGATCGATCGAGCTTGTTGGACGAGGCTGCTCACAGCCCTGCTGAGGATCGCAACTCCGCCAGTGAATCCGAGATGAGCGAAGACGGAAATGAGAGCACTGATTGTGCTACACAATTGCAAGGCAACCACGTTGGACCGATCCTGAAAAAGATCGATTCAGTGATCCAGAAGATCACTGCCTCGGCAGCCATACGATCTGAGTTTGAGACCTGGGCAAAAAAACTGGACTACTCAGGGCCAACCCTTATTGCGGGGTATGGAATTCGATGGAACATAAAATTTGAAAGCCGAGACCGAGGTTATCAGGGAAGAAGTATCATAAATCAGCTGCTTGTGAACGAAAAAGATCGACAGGAGCTGGAGGGAGGGAATAACTTTTCCAATGACATCAAAATCTTGCGAAACAACTGGGACCTACTCAAACAACTGAACGACATCCTTGGGGAGTTTTACTTCATCACCAAGAAGATGGAGGGAGACATCTCCTCAGCGGGGATGATGCTTGCACAGTACCAATGGATTTGAGTCTTCCTGAACAAAAGAATGAATACCACTACCAGTGCAAAGGATGAGTTCAACGGTATGCTTCAAACAATGTTGCGAAAAACTCAAACTTACACAACTGAGGCCATTAGCTGCAATACAATCCTACTTGCAACAATCTTGAACCCTTTTTACCGACTCTCAATGATTAAAATGTGGTTTCCATCACACTTTACGGCCGCACAGTCCTTGATACAATTGGAGTACTCAAACAGGAAGAAAGCATCCGATTCTCAAACTTTTTCCAGAGAAAGATTGCCCGTGAACCAAGACAAAAATCAAAGAAACTACAGAGACAATGAAAATGTTGATTTTTTTCCAGATTCAGTTGACTTGATACCTGAAGATGAGCTATCTGTCTATCTTGGCGGAAAATACAAATCACCAACTGAACAAGCTGCTGAACCTCTGTTGTGGTGGAGGGTAAGCAGGATCATGATTCATTGCATGTTATTTATTATTTTGTTAAAATTAACATACATATTATGCTTGTTTTTCAGGACCATCATCAGGAATTCCCTATCCTGTCTCAATTGGCGAGGGACTACTTGTCCTGCTGTTCAACTTCAGCAAGCGTGGAGCGCTGTTTTTTGGCTGCTGCAGATACCTGTGGGCATGACCAAGGTAGCTTGGGAGAACACACGATTGAGAGATGTGTCAGCTCTCATCAATGGTTGCTTCAGGGAATGAAGCCCAATGGTAATTTTGAGACGGTATGCCAGATCATTGATCAGTTTACGGCAGATGAGGATAACCAGAGAACAAAACATGTCCCAACAATGTCAACATCATTGTAGTTTTCTGAGCAGAACTTTTTTTTGACAATTTTACAATAAAATTATGAGTTTACAAAAATTTAGAAAAAAAAGCTACAGATGTATCCAAAAAAACTTGTATTGCATTGCTCAATCAATACAATACAGGTTTTTCACCATGCTTGTATTGAAAATTTGATCCAATACAATTTTTTTGTATTTTCACCATGCTTGTATTGAAAATTTGATCCAATACAAGTTTCTTGTATTGAGTAAGCAATACAATACAGGATGTATCTACTGAAATGTATTGTTTTACAGATACAATACAGGTATATGTCCAATACAGGACTGTATTGTACCACTTACAGTGTTGCTGGTACCACCTGCACCCGCCAGGCAGTTCCATGTGCCTGTTTTTGGGCAAAAAAAAATGTGTGGTACCCGGGTACCACCTAGAGATGTCAGCAGGTACCCAGTACCCGTCTGCGGGTACCTCTTTTTCAAAGCGGGTGCAGGTGTCAACATTTGGGGTAAAAAAAGGCAGGTAGCCGGGTACTCGCCTTACACCTGCCCTGGGAATGCTTCCCCTGAAGAATTTAAATTATCATTGGCAGTCCAACACTCCCTTTTTTGGATGTGTTGGGCTGCACAAAGGTGTCAGCAACCCATGTAGAACACTGGATGGTGTCCTACATGGGTTGCCGAACTAATCTGGTTGCTTTGTTGAGGCCAGAGGGAGCCCTCCGGCCCTTGAGACGGTGTACAGACTTGAAAACTGGAGGAATAACTCCAGTCATTGAGACAAATTTCTGGGAATAATTGCCTGCAAAAAATCCTCCACACCCGCAGGTACCCGGCATGTTCCATGATGTAGCAGAAAATAGCCTATAATGCAAGATCAAGGGCAGTACAAATTGAAAAAAAATTTCTATAATGTATCAAAACCCCAGGTTTCCGGGGTTTTGCAAAACCTCATCTTAAGTCTTTAACTATGCGGTTTGGATTTGGTCAAAACCCTGAACCCCGTGTGTTGAGGTCATACCTTATAGTTCAATCCATTTTTGCAGTGCATATAGCCTGACCCAAAATAAAACAGAAAAAATGAAAGAAATATGAAAGAAAAAATGAAAGAAGAGATGAGGAAAAAAACAAGGGAAAAAATGAGGAAAAAAAAATTAAAAAATGAAAATTGGAAAAAAAACAAGATACATGGAAATACGGGACAATTTGTATCTGTATAATTCACATATTGTACTTCTTCCTGATACATAATCTCAAAAATACAGCGTATTTTACCAGAGGGGAAATACATACAACAAGAAATACATGTAATTGTATCTGCTGATGAATACAATCCAATTACGTGGAATCAATGAGTTTTGAAATACAATACATGGTGTATAGAGATACACGTATCATATTTCTTGCACCGTTGGTTGAGCCATAGTGGATGACAGTCACCAGAGATTTGGCAAGGGGAATGATGATTTGATCCAGAAGGACTGGAGAGATTAAACCGGTGGATGTTCCGATTTGATGATAAGGAAGAATAAAAGATAGATGAATTGATGATGTTAGAGACTTCAAGGAAGGTAATCGGTGGATGTTCTGATTGATGATAGGTCAATGGGAGATAAGTGAAGGATGATAATAAAGTGTATCTACTTCTATAAGAATTTAAAACCCATTGATATTGGTACATAAATCTAAATACTAATGAATAAGACAATGATTCCAAGTAAAGAGCAACCAATGGTTGGCTCGGATGGAATATATTAAGTCATGTCAATGATATGTGTAAATTGTGTGTTAACCAATCATGAAGGTGAGAAGAGAAGGTCAACTAAAGAACTGTAATCATAAATAGAGTTAAGAGTTGGAGGTCAACTGAGGATCGTAATGAGAAAATAGATAGCTTCAAGGGAAGATCAAGACTGTAAATCTGTTAATTCATGAGTGAAAGAGTCAAAGAGGGAAAGACTCAATGAGTTTGTATTCCTGGATGAACAAACTCAAGCTTTAAATAGGGAAATAAAACAAGCTAAATATGTGAAAAACTGAGTATAAACATATTCTAATAATGACTGAAGAGTGTTGTGACATACTGTCAGGTCTCGACAGAGACACATGTCACAGATGTGTAGATAGATTGTAGTCTTGATTTCCGCTCTCTGTATTGGAAATCATCGACTATTCGGAGCTCACTCTCCAACAGGTTATGAGCCTCTCGCAAGAGTAGCTCGAAGAATATCACCGGTAGCCGATAGAAGCAGACGAGCCCGTAGTCCATACGTTCAGGACAAGCCCATAGTAGTCCATCAAGGACGAGCATCACCGTAGTCTGCTGGTGAGTCGATCAATCATTTCTCCTTAAATTTTTTTTTCTTTCTCATTTCCACCCAATACCACTCCTGACTCTCTCGAAAACATCCTCTCCATTCACAATCTGACCAAACCCGAATCGGTTTCTCTATTGTTGCCTTAGAAAGTTTCAAAGGGTAACCAAGCTTTAGCTTCCAAGCTTGACAATATTCAGAAAGTTGCGGTGAACGTTAGAATTAATGTTGAAATCGGACTGATCATCCGTAACCCAACATACTGAATATAGTCAAGCAAGGTTGAGAACCTTGTTGACCCGGAGACACCGACTCTGACATTGTCAGTGAACCCGATACCGCCTGCGCCGACCGACGGCAATTTTTTCTCTACCTCTCACCCCTCCCCTCATCTCCTTACCAATCCGATCACCATGTCCAGTGGCCAGCCTGGAGATCTCAAACCAAAACACCCAGGAAGCAGAGTTGGTGCGGCAAACACGATCACACGGCTTACTCTGAAGACTCAGGCCCTCCGGAAGGCCCTGAACGCCCACAACCCTCTGGATGCATCGGACGCGCTCAGGAGGAAACTAGGCCGCACCATCTCCAATGTGGATCCCGGACTCCATCCCCCCTCAGGCATGCTTTCAAAGGGTAAAGGCCTCGATGTGTCCGACGACACACCTCAAGAGACGACATTCCAACCTCGGATCACCAATCAACCGTCGGGGCCGTCGTCGTCCAACTGGAGAAGGCCGGAGGCACCCCCTCATCTCGACAATCGATCATCGACTCTCCTCCTGCTGCAAGAACTAAAAGAACAGCGCGAGGAGGAGCGCCGACACCGTGACCAAGAAAATGAACGTTCCAGACGACGTGCCAATCTGGAAGAACAATCGCGGATCGCAAGCACTGTCGCATCTGTCGTCCGCCGAATATCGGACGAGGATGTACTACAGCCAGACGGATCGAACCTCCGACGATGGGAATGAATGCTCAGCATGCATGCAAGCGAGCAGTTTCGCGACCCGGATTTCTACTCTCCAAAAGAGGACGGCGCTGTCGATGAGACTCATGAGAAGATCGCTAGAGGCATCATCAACGCATCCGTGCACCGAGATCTGATTTATGATCTCCTCAACTTCGATTCTTCCTCCGATGTGTACGTGCATCTCCTGATGAAATTCAGGTCAATCAGCAGGGCTGCACAGCTTCAAGCTTGGCAGCGTTTTGTGTCCATCAACCCCAGCAAATACAACACAACAGCTGGAATTCTTGCAGCCTTCACGGACGTAGCAAAATCGTTCGATGAAATGTCACTCGATCTCACCTTTGATGACATGATGGGGCTGATCCTCCAATCAAACCTCAAGGACATTCACCAGGCAGCTTTTGACCAGAAGATCGAATTGTTTATGAGTACTCATGACTATGCACACCCGTCCTTTCAGGACATGCTACGTTTACTAGACGCCACTCGATCCGAACAGAAGCTGAACGATGATAACCGCCTCTCGGAGACCGCCTCATTCCGCCTTGATCTAGCTAGTCGCACGGACTCCGCCGCAGCTGAAGCTCCTGAAGATTCAAAAGTTAATGCCATGGCACTGAGCAAGAACACTAAGTGCTACATCTGCAAGAAACCGGGGCACATAGCGCCGGACTGCCCAGCCAAGAAGAGAGGTGTGAATCAAACAAATCCTCCGGCCTGCCTCAACCAGAACCCAGGCCCCTCTCCACCCTGCTCAGTCACCTACAACTTTGACCAGCTCCCGTACATCAGACCATTACAACCTGAATCAAAAGCACCCAACACAGCTTCAACAAAGAAAGTCCCAGACAAACATCCCTCACGCGCTGTCGAAGCTAAGCTCATCAATCCTGACATCTTTGCAGAAGACGAAGAAGAGAACCACTTTGTTTTTGAAACTGAAGATCTCTCGGCCGAACCGTCTGGCAACCGCTTCAACTTAAGGAGCCTCTCCATCAATGAAGAGGGTCAAGAAGTCATATGGGACTCTGGCGCCTCCGACAACGTGACAGGCAACAGGTACACCCTCCATGACTTTGTTGAACTTGCAAAGCCCATTGCAGTCAGGGTAGCTACTGACTCAACATGTGAGTACATCACAGGCACGGGTACTTTGAAATTCTCAGGGATGAACAAAACAACTGTCAAAGTTAGAAAGGTTTATTTCTGTAAGAATGCTAGATCAACTCTCTTGTCAATCACTGCTTTCAAAAAAGCTAACGCAAACTTCAGAATCAATGGAAACTTTGATTCTATCGACTTGTTGTCTAGGAACGGACGGCTACTTCTACGAAGCAACTTTGATCCTGCAAACAATACATGGCCATTAAACAGACCTGAACGTGTACATAGGTATGGAAATCTACCACCATTTCAGTATTAGTTGTTCCTCTCCTATCACTAGTCTTGTCACAATGCAATCAATTTTCAAGTCCCCAAATTCTATTGAGAGAAGTGAGTTCACGTGGCAACCTGAGAGCCTGACTGCCGATGAGAAAGTGCTACTGTTCTGGCACCAATTGTTTGGATATGCCAGCCTACGAAAAATCCCCCGACTAGTCAAACTGAAACTTGGGTATGGCCTTCCAGAGAAACTACCCAGCGGTGTGGTAAGCCAATCTTGAATAAGAGGCCCACAAAATCAAAGCTTCAAGTACAATATCAAGCCCTCTGGATGACAAGACCCTCAAGCATCAAGACCAGCCCCCTCTGGAATATTCAGCCAACCTGCAACACCATGGATGTCACAAGACCCAGCCCCCTGGACAGAAGATACTCTGGATTCTCATTTCATTTCATTATTACATAATCAGCTCATGCAGTCTTACATCATCAATCCCCATTCAGCCTTCCACATTTGGCCTCTGCATGTGTTTCACTCTAGTCTCATTTCCACTTTGGGCCACATTCTATTGTTTCACACTATTCCTCTTGGGTTATTTTCATGTCTCACACTAGTACACATCTGGCTAGTTCATTTATCTCTTTGGTATATTCTTCCTCCCTCATTGGTTGTGGCACATTTCATCCCTGCATGTCTCTGATGTCATTTTCCCCATTTATCTTAGTGCCTACCAATTGGGCCACATGTTTCAGTTTGATAATTTTCTTTTGTTCCATTTTGTTCCATGGTGTTTCCAACCACAAGCTGGCCACTCCCCAGATTTTGTATATAAGGAGCCTTGTTTTTCCCTCTTCATTTGTTCCTTATCAGATCCTGCCCCAGCAATTCAGATAACTGATCACCCTTCATTAGCCTAGTAGTTGCCCATCAACATTTGGGATACTAGTATTATTCAGACAGAAGACCAGAAGACAGAAGACATACCCATCTCAAGAATCCTCCAAAGCCACACCTTTCCTTAAGAGTCCACACTCTTATCTTTTTCTTGTTATCTTACTCAACCCAGTTTACCAGACAGGCAGCCCATTAAAGCATCTTTCCCTCTCCAGCTCTATTCATCCCAAGAGTAGTTCCACAGCGGGACAATTAAATGCCCTGTATGCAGCATCTGCAAAGCAACTAGGACTTCAGTACTTGGACCCTCTAAACGTTGCCTCAATAAGTTGTCAGTTGTATGTGTTGATCTAATGGGACCTTTTGACCCGCCCACTATGACAGGAGGCAAGTATGCTCTTACAATACGTGACACCTTTACCTCATACAGTGAAGTCAAGATCCTTCAAGCAAAATCTGAAGCAACCCAACAATTGATGCAGACAATCACCTTCTGGGAGACACAGACAGGAGCAAAAGTCAAAATACTTTGTTCCGACAATGGAGGAGAATTTGACTCAAAAGTCCTGGCTGATTTTGTCAACAACAAAGGAATCATTGCTGATCGATCACTTCCCTACCACCACTTCCAAAATGGCATTGCCGAACGATTCAACAGGACAGTTGCCGACATGGGCCGGAGCATATTGTACAATAGCAGACTTGGAAAAGAATTCTGGGGCTACGCTTTCATGTGGGCTACCTGGACTTTAAACAGGATTCCCAACAGAGTCACAAAGGATCAGACTCCCTATGAGTGTTTCTATGGTGAGAAGCCCCAACTGGACAGGACAAGGGTTTTTGGAGCGACAGCTTTCATTCTCACGGCTCCGGAAAAGAGGAAGAAACTAGACGACAGGTCCACAGAAGGCATGGTGGTAGGTCATCTTCCCGGTTCAAAAGGTTGGACTGTTTGGGTCCCTTTGACAAAGAAACTCGTCTCGTCGGCTTGGGCGGACTTTGGACGAAATGCGCTGCCGTCTCCTACGGATACAACAGATGAAGCAAGCCCAGAAAGGCACAAAGGAAAGACCCCGGCGGGTGAAGAGACTACCCCAGACAAAGTATCCGAAAAGCCAGAACCATGGAGATCGCCCCGCACCAATCAACCGACAGTGCAAGGACTGAAACTTAATGACTTTGCCAAGCAAGAAGAGATGGTCGACACCTGCCTAGCAAATTGCGCAGACGGAAATGAAGGGATTCCCCTTTCTTTCTAGGCGGCCATGAAATCAAAGGAGGCTGCATATTGGAAGAAAGCAGTGGACACCAAACTAGACAACCTCCGCAGAAAGTCCGTTTGGAAAGTCCGTCGTCTACCAGCAAGCCGTCGCAAACTAGGAGCCAGGTGGGTTTTTGCAAAGAAGCCCAACGCTGACGGAACCGTCAAATACAAAGCCCGCTACGTTGCCAAAGGATACAACCAGAAAGAAGGAACTGATTTTGCTCATACCTTTGCACCAACTGCCACGTTCACATCAATGCAAGTACTTCTGACCATAGCAGCAAAGAACAACTGGCCAATTTACAATTTTGATTTTGTGGCGGCTTACCTCAACGCACCAATTGACGAGGAAGTATGGGTGGCGGCCCCCAAAGGTCTGGAAGTTGTAGAAGGCGAGGCTTGTTTGTTACAGAAGGCCCTTTACGGCACCAAAAAAGCAGCAAGATGCTGGTGGAAACACCTCAGTGGGACTCTGGCGGATCTGGGATACACCTCAAGCTATTATGACTCAAGTGTGTACACTCTCAGCAACAAGGAAACACGATCTATCATCTGGGTACACGTGGATGATGGCATTGTCACCGGTTCTTCAGACAAAGCACTCAAGCAACTAGAATCACAGCTCAAAGGGAGCCTCGAGATCAAATGGACTGAAGGTTTAACATCAATGGTGGGAGTCAAGATTCAACGAACAACATCAGGATTCAACCTCACGCAACCCAACTTGATCAACAAAGTCTTAGAAGAACGTTGGGATGGTGTCACTACCCACCACACTCCTCTCCCGGAAGGATATACTGCGACAATGGAGCCAGACAAAGTTGGTGTGAACCCCAGCAATTATCTCTCCATCATTGGTAGTCTCAGCTATGTTGCTGTAGGCACACGACCAGACATAGCATACAGTGTCAACTACTTAGCAAGGTTTTCATCCAAACCCTCCCAGTTCCATTGGAAGGGTCTGCACCACCTGATCATTGGGTACCTGGCCGGATCCAAGGAAACATCACTCCAGATACACCCACGGTCTAGCGAATCGGTCCCCGTAGAATGTTTCTGTGATGCAAATTGGGGAGGAGCCAACTCCAGATCCACCTATGGGACAATGATCAGACTTTACGGTTCAACCATTATGTGGGTATCAAGGAGGCTAGTCACTGTTGCTAGTTCAACGTGTCAAGCAGAATACATGGCATTGGGTCACACTACCCAACACACCTTATGGATCAGAAACTTGCTTTACGACATCATTGGCTCGAATTTCCCGGTGCGCATATACTGCGACAACCAGTCAGCTGTGAAGATAGGTTGCGAAGAAGCTTCAAACAAACAAACGCATCACATAGAAAGGGAATATTACATAACAAACCAAGCACTTTATGAGAAGAAGATAGAGATTGTTTGTTCGGACCTAGGTACCTGTTTATACCCAGGTACCTGTTCATTTTTTCAAGAAAATAGATACCATGTACCACACCAGACACCTCCCTGGGGGGTACCCAAGGTACCTTTTTGCAGGTACCTCAGGTACCCCCCCTCTCTTTTTCACCTAGGTTCACTCCCAGATTCCCAAGCCACTTTATATTATCATTATTGTTTCATATTTAATTGTAAAACATCAGTCCCAAAGTCATTTTTTTTCATTTTTTCATATTTAATAATTTATTGCAAAGTTTAACCTATCTGAAAACTTATAACTAATTGGGAAGAATCTTCATTGTCATCCCAAAACCCATCACCTCCCTTTTCTGGTTTTTTTTAGACTTCCTCTTATCCTTGAGTCCCCTGTTTCCATGCAGCCAAGGTACCTTCTTGGATCTTGGAGTTCTTGGAGTAGAAGGCCACCCATCATTTTGATTTTTGGTAGGGAAGTCAGGGGGTACCTGTAGAGGTACCCTAGGTACCTGTTCAAATTTTCACAAAAATAGGTACCAAGTACCGCACCTGGCACCTCCTGGCGGGTGCGGGGCGGGTGCGAGGGGTACCCCCCAGGAGGTACCAGGTACCTGCAAAAAGTACGGACAAACGATCTCTAGAAGAAGACTTCCCTTGAGTGGATCCCCGGCAAGGACCAAATAGCTGATGTCTTGACAAAAGCTTTAGGAAAAGGGGTGCATGCCAAGTGTGGTGCAATCATTCAAGGTTACCTTGTGGAATGATTTCCTTTTTTTTACTTCAAATATTTTTTCTCTTCTCCTTCTTATCTTCACTCTCTTATTTCATGTTCACTCTAAGTTTCTTTTTATGATTACTGGTGTCTTGTTGAGGGGGGGGATGTTGTGACATACTGTCAGGTCTCGACAGAGACACATGTCACAGATGTGTAGATAGATTGTAGTCTTGATTTCCGCTCTCTGTATTGGAAATCATCGACTATTCCGAGCTCACTCTCCAACAAAGAGTTCACCATGAGATATGCTAATAATTAGAAAATGAAAAAGAGAGAGCTGAAACACATGAATACTAACACAAAAGGGTCCTGATGACGCCATCCAAGAGGATTATGATGCAATCTGACGCCCTGATGATGTGATCAAGGATGGGTAAGCTTCAGGTAAGTTTATATAGCTTATTCCTCATCCATTTCATGCTTCTACTAGCTGTTTCTTATACATATGTAATTAGTTTATGGATTATAAAATATGTACATAAACTATAAGAATAAATATTATTTTAATACCTTATTCTAATGATATTTCTGTGAAATCCTAGTGATATTATATGTACAATACTCAAGGAGATTTCACAGTTAATTATTGAATTATTAAATATAAATTATGAATTAAGATTAAATGTAAATACATATTTAGTCATTTATTATCTTAACAACAAGGTATAATGTTTACTTGTATTCAGTTAATTATTATCTTGCAGTTACTAGGTACATCTCAGGTACCGTGAAAGGTGCTCTGTGGCCAACACCGTTTGACCAAAGAAGATAGGGGTTGATGGTGAGGTTTTGTAAGGTCTAAACTGGTTACTTGGTTATAGTTGCTGAACTACAAGGTTGTACATGTTGCACAAGCCTTGGAACCTTGTTTATCTTGAGTTTGCATCCAATGAACTTTGTTTATGTCATTAGCTGATTTGGTTCTGTAACTTTAAATGTCTGTAACTCTTTAGTTATTGATTATTTTACGGAATTCTTTGTTTTTTGAGTATGTAGTTACACAGTGGTATGTAACTACATGAATTTTGTTTTTAATTTCTAAGTAAAGTAAAAAAGATTAATTTTATTTTTAAAGGCCTTTGTGGTCATTTGCAGGCTTTTGACCATATACACTTTTATATGTAGATATTTATGCTTAATATTAATTTACTATTTATAATATTTTTTCTTGGGCTAGTCTTGAGACTTGACTATGAGTTTTAATTGTTATTTTTATTATTTTATACTTTGAGGCCTATGGGTATGTATATACCTCAAGGCTGACAGGTTTGGGGCAGGCAAGAAAATCAGGGGGCTGTGGTTACTAGAGGGGTTGTGTTGGGTTGGTTGAGGTTTGATTGCAACACAGGAAGCAGATTTTTTTTCCAAGTTCAAACAAACTCAGAAGGTGTTTGACTCAGCTGGCCTGCTGAACACAAGGTTGAGCCAACCACAGATGTGATTTGGTCCAGTTGAGCATATGTGAACAAAATTCAATGTTTATGTAGTGAACCCATTGCAAAATGCTTCACACAAATCACAATCCTTGTAGCACTATGGGGTGCATCAACTGTTTTTTATCTGACCTTTATGACTCCAAGAGAACATTCACAGCAATCAAAGAGCTTCGCCACTTAAAAGATTGTATGTGATAAAATATACCAAAGGACTTTTTGAGGCTACTATTGTTTCGACTGAAATGAGGGATTGATGAATACACACAAAAAATCTGCAGAGATAAAGATGGTTGCAAAAACTATGGATAGTGGCAAAAGTGTGCCACATAAAGGGGATTGTTGAAGATTCTGTGAATCACACATAGTGCATATGTAAACCAACAAATGAAGTTTATCTTTACACTGATCACGTGAACTTTGAAGGACATGAGAATTATGGTGAACTTTTCAGCAGTAAACCATGCAATATTCTGCAAATTACAGAGTTTTGTAAAACTATGGTAAGTGTAGAGATTGTTTGTTGGTACCCATTGCTAGGTACCTAGTACTGCTCGGCGGGTACCGCCCGCACCTGCCAGTTTTTTGGCAAAAAAAGGGGAGGTACCCGGGTACCGCTACGAGTACCGCCCCCATGAGTCTTGACTGGAAGGGTTTCCTTCCGGTCGATGAGGTAGATGTACCTTATCAATCAGAAGGTTTCCTTCTGGTCTATGAGGTACATGTACCTCACTGACCAGAAGGAAACCCTTCCGGTCAACGAGGTAGATGTACCTCGCTGATTGAAAGGGTTTTCTTCCAGTCAACAAGGTACATGTACCTCATCAACCAGAAGGAAACCCTTCCAATTGATGAGGTACATCTACCCCATCGACTGGAAGGAAACCCTTCTGGTCAAACTGGCCGGGACGCTGGGGTTCCCCCCAGCCTCAAGGCCATTTTCTTTTCTTTTTTTTTTCTTAATTTTTTTTACTTTTTTCTTTTTCTTTTTTTATCTCTTTTCTTTTTCCTTTTTTCTCTCTTTTCTCTTTTCTTTTCTTTTTTGTTTCTTTTTTTTCAGCAGTTACAAACAGTTGTTTTTTTTGAAATTCTTTTCAAATTGTTGTTGACTTTATGTTTTTATGTTTTTAAAATGATAGTCACAAAAAATCCCCCCCCAAAAAAACTCAAACAAGATGCAAAAGGATTGTAATGAACCTTGCAGTCAAACAAAGTGTGGAAGAGAGGGGAGGTACCCGTGGTACCTGCCAAAAGTACTTCCGGTACCCGCCGGGAGGCGCCTGGTGTGGTACTTGGTACCTATTTTTTGAAAAAAATCAACAGGTACCTAGGTACCAACAGGTACCCGAGTACAAAAAAACGATCTCTATGTCAGTGTAAGTGCCTCCTTGTAATTTCTTGTGGTTTTCAAGATGGATATTGTAGACATCCCCCTGGGTGAGATTAGTTGGGCTGCAGTGTGAAAAATGCTGGATTCTTGAGGATGGGAGAGAGAGTTTGCATATAGTGATGCACATTCTGTCATCCTTCTTGTGGACAGTTCAGGCAAAGAGAGAGATCTTGGATAGCTATACTGTAAATAACCTGTGGTGATTGGTTTCAGCTTGTCTTCATTCCTCAAGAAACACATTAACCAGGATGATAGTTTGTGGTCATAACTGCAAACATGGCTGCCCTATTATACCATCATCCAACCAAAAAGCTAGAAATCAAATTACTAATTTTGATGAGAACAAAAAAAAACTTATGGGCATGAAGTGAGTTCCCAGAAGTCAAAATAATTAACCTGAACTTTTGGCATGGGGCCCATGAATAAAAAAATTTCAAGTGTAATCATTGTGTGGGAGGTGGACCATGCTGATTTGGGGCTGCTTGTGGCTAAGTTTCTGGATAAGAATTGGGATCATTTACCATATGTGACATGGCACCCGGGTACCACCCGTTTTTTTGCCCAAGAGCAGGCACCTGGCACTGCCTGGCGGGTGCAGGCGGTACCAGCCAAGTAGTGCCAGGTATCGGCAAATATTCTCTAGGTTGGCACAACAGTCATTAATAAAAACTCCCAGCCAGAAATCCTGGCTCTCAGGCTGGCAGATCAATTTAGACAAAAGTCCCTCCCTCTGGTTGGCAGAATAAAACAAGCTGAGAGGAAGGGACTTGGATAAGTTGGGAAGAATCAATATATGTTTCACAGACACAGCTTCATTGTGAGTGATGCATTCAGGCTAAAAATTGATTTTTAACCCACTTTCTAAACAAATTTTTCCCAAATATCAACTTGATGCAACTCCAGATCTCTCCCAAATCGAGGCTTTAGCCAAAAACTTTGAAAATTTCATGATCCTAGGTAAATGTGGGTTAAGAATCAATTTTGAACACCCATCTTGTGGGTGAAAAGGTAGACACTTGTGGGAACTCCTCAGTGTATGAAAAAGGGAAATACAACTGGTACTAGGTGATTTAAGGACTATTTTATATATGTGCAACATGAGCAAAATTTCAAGCAGAGAAGCAATTGGTGACAGAGGAACGGGAGATTTCTCACTATCAGGTTTAGACATGGCAGTTAAGGTTGGGATGGAAAATAAACATGATCATAGAACTGAAGTGTTATTCCCAGCTTGAGGCGAACTTGCACTGCTTGAGGTCTTTGACAGGTATGCTTGGCTAGATAGACAAAAGCCATCAAATTGAAGATCATTAGTACAAGTTGTTTGAATTCAAGTATTATATAGAAGATGATAGAATGAATAGGTCAACTCACACAACATAGCGCGAGATAGTCCGAGGCGCAGGTAAATGTCGGGAACATTCCGCCTGGAATATTTCGGATTTTGGGGATGATAGGGGCTGGGAGGATTGTATCGAGTATCGACATCAGCCCTGGCGATGCGGATGCAGATAGATAAGACAAAAAGAGGAAGTATCTTGAAGAAGATCCTCAACTCACCTCCTGTATCCATCTGGACGCAGTAACCATTGCTGTTGTCGCGATTGGGACAAATCATATTCTTGGCGGCTGCATGCATTGGTCCACTAATCAACAGCATCAAGATCGAGCTCGCGAGGATGGCGATAACTGATTGCATGGTAAGGTTTTGGGAGGATGCGATGTAACGGTTTGATGTGTTGGCGGGTAACTGGAGAAACGGTTCTATGAACAAGGTGTTGATGGTTTTTGCAGGGAAAAGGTCGTTCGGGTTTTGGTATATCTACAGGGTCGCTTGATTGCTTGGAAGGCTTGTTGGGTGAGGAGAGTGAAAGTGGCAAGCAGTCCCCCGGTTCTTATATGAGAGAAGCTCACAGGTTGGATGGGTTGGATAGCGGCTGTTGAGCGCGCCAATGGCATGTAGCATAGTTTACGGTGGACCCGTGCCAACGCAAATGCCATGGCCAGTTTTCTTTCCAAAAACCCGATGAAGGACTGCTCAAACTTGACAACAAGGCCCTCGCCTGCTAGCTCCGTTTGGTAGGGAGGCAGAGACCCTGCGAGGTTGCCAGCTGGGTTCTCTACGAGAGGCTTGGTTAGACTCGGGAAATGCAATGGTCCCTGGCACCCATGCTGCCCAGCTATTCCCTTCTGGCTGGGCAATCTATGCTTGAAAACACATCTGCTATCTGAACGACATCGTTTAACACGATGGATCAATTGTTTCAAGCTGGGAACTTACCCTACGGAGAACAAGAATCACAACTGAAGAATTCAAGAGATGCCTGCTCCCAGACACCCAGAAGATACTGAATTTTAAGAATCACTTCTACGTTTCTGCGCTTGGGAATAACAGTTAAATGTCGTACATATGTGGCACTCTTCTTTTGAATCAATCTTCAGTAACGATGCCTTGCGGTCCCTGGGTCTTCCTCCCTCCCGCCTTATTCCCAAATGGAGCCCACTTCCTAAAGAGCTAAAAACAAAGCCGGAAACACGTACTGATGATGGATGTCAAATTGATTACCATTCTTACACAGTGCCTGGGGTATCCTACCCCAATTGCCTGCTGAGCCCCAGTCTCCTGAAGCCACCTCCACCGAGGAACCCAGGCCGTGAGATCTGATTGGCGGACTTGATAATCAGAAGGCGATTGGCGAGCTTGAACTGGATGAAGACATTCCAGCGCATTTGATTGACTCTGCTTTTTTGTCTGTGTAATAACTCACCCAAATGTTTTTTTTTTGGATTTGCAACATCACATTCAAATTTCAAATAGAGTGACAGTAGTCTTTCTACATAGGTTTTTTTTTCACTTCAAAGACAAGCCAGGCGGTTTAATTACATTAGACACATACAGGAAAGCGAATTCAAATATCAAGCTCTGAATCACTATCATTTTTGGAAGTCGCTCTGATGTTTTTCTTGATTTTGGATCGATAAGAGTTGTCGTCGTCATCCTCTAGTCGACTGTTGCCATCAGGATATTTCTCGGAGGATGATTTGACTTTGAGATGTTCATCAAGAGCGCCGATGGAGAGTAGTTCAGCTTCCAAGTCGTCCAATCTGGTCGATAATCCAGCACTAAGTTTGCCATTTGTTTTGGAGATTTCAGAAGACGATCCAATGCCAACGTATTGCCGCAGACAGGCCCCAGCACGATAGCAGATCAATGTAGGCTGGTTGGCGTCAGGGTAATTAGCAATACATGATTCCCCTGGGATCGAAAGAAAATGAGTTGATGGGTACTGATGTGAGATTTGTTCAAGTAGTGATAGGATGTGTTTTGAGGCGGATGAGCTAAATAGAATTTTGACATGTCAAAAAAAGAAGGACGTATTGACGCTGATTCGTCCTAACTTTGACAACGCGGAAAATATAGTTAGAAAAAAAAATGCAAGGATTAGACTGACTTGTTCCAAAGACAAAGTACCACTCCAGTCCCTCTCCTAGTGTGAGCTGAATTAGGATCCACATCAACCTCGCTAGCTTGGTTGACCTCTCGAACGTAGTCTTCCTTCCCTATCGGTCTCAAGCCAGATGATCGAGCGTTCGTGGTTTGTTTGGCATGTTGCAATTCAGCCAGTCGAGCTGATTTCCACGAGTCGACCAAATGCGCTGGGATGTCTTCATCTAGTTCGAGTTCGTCAATCGCCTTCTGGTTATCGAGCTCATCAATCAGATCTTCCGGTCTGGGTTCCTCTGGTGAAGTAGCTTCGGGAGACTCGGGATCAGCAGGCAATTGTGGTAGGATACCCCGAGCCCTGTGTATGAATGGTAATCAATGTGGCATCCATCATCAGTGCGTGGTTCCAGTTTTGTTTTCAGCTCTTGAGGAAGTGGGCTCCATTTGTGAATAACGAGGGAGGGAGGGAGGAAGACCCATATTGACCTTAAGGCATCGTTACTGAAGATTGAAGTACCACACACGACAATCAGCTTTCAATATTTATTCCCAAGCCAGTCAGGCGTAAGAAAGTAGGAATGACTCTTACAATTCGGTATCTTCCGAGTATCTGAGAGCAGGCATCTCCTTGGATCTTGAGGTGTACTTTCGATCGAGAGGCTATCTTGCCTTGGTGGTGGACTTGTCCGATGGACTTCCAGTGGAATTTGGGGCTTGATTTAGTCTGGAGGGGGCTTCAGAGCCAGACTGTGGACGTAGAGGGGGGGCCGAAGAGCGGACTGCATTGCATTTTGCATATTCAATTTGGGTTCGCTGACCTTTTCTTTACCACCACCCAGCTTCCTGCATCCAGTGAGTTCCTCCTGAAAGTCAGCCAGCGGGATATCTTCTTCGTCACACTCGTCAACAGGATAACAGGATAACAAGATGCAGTCAGACGATGTGGTATGGGGAATCATGTGAGTCCACCCGCCCAATCATCCAGTTAGTTGGACGGACTCGGAAGGCTGACAAATTGGTGTGTTTTTTTCTGTCTACCATCTGGACAAAATAGAAATCATCAGTTCTGTTCTTACAAGATCAAAGCAGCTCCTGGAGGTGGCCATTCCCACAACAAGGCGGTCGGCCAGAATTTCTGTAAAAACGAATACAATGCTACTGGCCTTTGCAACAAAGCAAGTTGTCCATTGGCTAACTCTCGATATGCTACCGTCAGGGAGATCGGTGGTAAGTTCCCCATGGTAGCCCCCTATCTGGCAATCAAAATGGTCTTGATCCGATCTTCTTGAATGCGAGGTTGACCTTTCCTTCTACTCAGGTATCGTTTATCTCTTTCAAAAAACTGTTGAGCGGGCCCACTCGCCGGCTAATCTATGGGAAAAAACACGTCTATCGACCAACTATGCCAAGGCACTCGAACAAGTTGAGTCAGACTTTCATCAGGATGTCTTAGGTAGGTTTTCTAGGAAATGATCTGACCCCGCCTTGTTTTCCTTCCCCTTTTGGTCTATTTTGGATCGATCCAGATCGATAGCTCTCTGATCTATTGGCCTGGGTACATGATTCACCGATGTAAACAGCGACTCACAAAGATCACACAATATCTGATCAAAATTCGAAGACTAAAGAACAAAGAATTGTCCGTCGCTGTGCTTTTTGATCTCCTCGCCTGATGTACAACCATCCTTGATCTTGCTAACTTCGAGTTGTGGAACTTTTTAGGCCTCAATTGGTGGCGATCAAGTCGAAAACCGAAAGGCGTGAACGCGCCCGAGAAGCCAAAGCTCTATCAGCCGCTCGATTGACCAAGACGCTAGAGAAGGAGTTGATCGGACGATTGAAATCTAAAACTTATGGTGATGCCCCTCTCAACGTTAATGAGGACGTCTGGAGATCGGTCTTGGAAGGAGAAAAACGGAAAGAATTGGAACAAGAGAACGAGTTAGAGTTGGAGGATGAAGAAACAGATGAGGAGAGTGACGACGGAGACGAGGAAGAGGAACGGGAGTTCGTGAGCGATTTGGAGGAAAGCGACCTAGAAGACATGGAGGACTGGGATGGGGTAAGGCGATCATTACTCGAGATACTCTGTGTTGTCAAACAAACATACTAATGGCGCCTTGGTGTTGATTGATTCAGCTGGGTGCCGATGATGACGAGGAAGATGAGCTGGACAGTGCAGATAGTGACGGGTCCAGTGAAGATGGGGACGCAGAGGGTCTCGATCTCAATATCGACAAGGGATCATCATCCAAGCGCAAGGCCAAACAACCTCCCAGCGAACCTGCTCAGAAGAAAATCAAGCCCACCAAGCCTCAAGATCCCAAATCGAAGAAAAAACGAAAACCGCAGATGGAGATCGAATACGAAGAAGAACAAGAATGGTTGGGTACTCAGGTTTAGAGTCGTTAGAATCTTCAATTTATGGGTTCTGTTTTTTTCGTTTTGGCCGTCCTTTGGAAACCATGTCTACTTGTTCTCTTTCCTTAGTTCGCATTACTATATTCATCAATATTGTCGCGCCCTCTTACTAAGCACACGTGTTCGCAGCAGTCTATGTGGAGACACTACATGAACAAATTTCTATTTAATTTCCATTGTCTTAATACTTGGACCCAGATGTTTCCTCACCAGGTCTCAGAATACGGGCTCGCGAAAGTGAGCTGGGCCCAAGAATTACCGCATGAAGAGCCTCACAAGCCCTGTCCAGATTGCTCAGCACTTGAGTAAATGAGACATTTTTATTGCTAGACAAGACGCACACAGGGCCAAAACATCCGCAGATTTCAGCAAACAAGGCACAAGGACAGGTCACACCAGTCCCAACAGAGACAAGATGGGCAAACCATGCACCACAGGAACTATGCCTTCTGACTTGCTCACTGGAGGACTTACTTCCCATCTATGTAATGTATCATTTTCATACTTCTTGAACGTCTTAAATTCTGAATTTCCTTCAGACTCAATCTATGTAATTTTGATTGAGAAAGTCACAATGGGTCAGGCTTCAACTTGGACAAAAAGTTGTCTCACTAGTACTCTAAATTCATGTATATAGAGGAAAACCTTTTTCAAAAATAATAATAAAAATGCTTGGGATTTAATGATGATGAGCTTGCTAATGGGTTTGCAGTCATAGTCATTTTTTAATGCATTCATTTCTCCTTTCTCTCTATCCCCCCCCCCGGTTGACGTGTTAATTGAGGTTGGATTTGTAAGAAACATTTCAATTTAGTTTGTATGTGCCAAATTAGCTAGTGATTTAGTAACCTCCCCCCTCCCACCTGAAACAAGAGTGGTCCATGGCGTGCATTGTTTGGCCCACAAGGGTCGTTTTTCTTGTTTATCAGACAAGGAGCTGACTTGAAGCTCTGCCCAACAAGGACTTTGGGAAACGACAACCATAGACACTCATGTATAAATGTTGGTAAAAGTAGGTGTTTACTACTGGTGAAAAGCGCTTATGGTTCTGGCCATGATTCCAATTTGAATAGGCATCTACAGAAAGAGGCTGACAATTGTAGCCATGTTGATCTTGTTCAAGGAGAATAAAATTGGGCGTGTGGGTACCTTCAAACTGTGATGGTAGATTGATGGGTCGCGCTGGGATCGGCTGACATGCTTGGTATCCTCGGTTGACTGGAATCAGCTTGGATCGTTGGGACCTTGATCTCACAAAGACGAATCCTAGTGCTGTTTTTTTTGCAAGTGTTTTTTTAAATACAGATGCAACAAGAATTTGTCATTTGTCAGAAACTCAAAGCAATACCAGAAGAAGAAAAAGAAGTGTTTTTTTCGACAAGGTGCTCAACTAGTAAGGTTTATTCTTAATTGTTTTCCGGTATCCTTTCCTTCGTTTCTTCTTGATCACCGTGCTCATCTTCCCACGGGTGTGTTCGACGACGATAGCGGAAGCATGCACGAGATCCTCGTCAAGATAATGCGGGATCTCGGGCTTAAAGCAGACCGTCCTTGCCTCCCGACTGAGTTCAGCAGGATCCATGCCGAGTTTCTTGGCCTTCCAGCCCAAGGTTTTTGAAGCTGCGGGGGAGAGGGTCTCTCGCTTGGCATGACCCACGGTACCGTTGCCGAGTGCTCGAAGGGTAAAATTTCGCGAACCAACCTCGGTGATCCGGGTTAGTTTGATCAAGTCGCCCACCTTGAGATCCTTGATATGAGGCAGGGTGACCTGATCATCGACCATCAGTTTATACTTCTTCCCCACAAGAAACGTCACCAGGTAGTGGTTGTCTTCCGATTTCAACATTCCTAAGGCTTCTGAACTGGGGATTTTGGGTAGACCTCTGGTGCCTCGGTTTGCTCGCTTGAGACCTGTTTGGAGCGTCGGTCGGATGACTAGAGTCGAATTTGACCGGATGAATGAGGTGGAGGAGGATGCACATGGCGATTGAGAGTGTCTAAGAAGGGGCGATTTTCGGACCATCGTACATTCCGTCGTCGTCGAGATAAGAGAGGATAATGTACCTACAACCAACCCCCCCAAAAAAATCAGCTATCATGACAATTTTCAAATGTTTTGAAGCCGAGAGATATGCTGAGAAACGAACCGAACAGTCTATTGAGCCCCGCCATTTTAACGCAGTCCGTAAGAGAAACTTGCTCCGGTGGTTTGAATGCGCCCAACGACAAATTCTGGTCCAGTGGTTCGACAGCACCTCAAAGTCACCTCTGATGTACGGGGCAGCGGACTGCGGGATGGCAAAAAAAGCCCCGATCCTGCCCCGTCCTATGTAAACCCCTATGAGACACCCCCCGGGTTCCCGTCTGCCGCTGTGGGAGACCTCCTTGATAAACATGCAAGCACGGTCCAGGGGCGGGGACAAAAGGGACAACTTAAGTATTTCAGGTATGTAAAAGGTGCCAACCCCAGAGGCAGTATAATTCACAAGTTGCAAAATTGTGATTACGCAAATGCAGAAAGAGAGCAAAGTGAGCATGAATTGAGGCAACAGTGGGCCAGCTACACTAATCATCGTGAATTAGCTTTTTAAGCTACACTACAAAAAAGTTACCATTAGCAGAAATTTTGGCCCACTTACACTACAGATTTTTTGAAAAACAAAAAAAACACTTTAGTGTCTAGTGTTAGCTGACATGGAAAAAGTCAAACTAACAAAGGTTTTAAAAAGTTTACTCCCTCAAATTCCAGGGCTTAAGTTTCACAATGATACCTTGTAAAGGTGAGAATGATGGCCAGGAATTTTTTATCTTTTGTTGGATCAAGGTTGGTGATTGCATCAGGAATAGAAGCATTAAACATAGTTACATTAATAATGATAATACTGATAAATTAGTGAACCTACTACAATCTAAATATGAACAGAACAGCATCAGTTCTACCCAGACAAGGGCCGGGGTTCTCTCCATTCAAGCAGGTCCATCCTGAAGGTCTTTTTATACATGCCCTGTAGCCTCATGCTGGAGATGATTCACTCCAGGCAAATTGACAGCAGTCAATCTTTGGTGGATATCCCCGGAACTGCCGCCCCACTATTACTCGGCAAAAGTTTTACCAATGCTGGGCCGTTATGCCAAACAGCCCACTAACACTAGCGTAGCAGGCCCTCAAAATAGCACACCAAACCTGTAGTGTTAGCGTGCTGTTAGTGCCACTACACTACGCTACACTGTGCTACAGTGCTTTTAGCGGCAAAAAAGGCCCAAAAACCGCTAAAATGTGTTGTAGCCCAGCTCAGTGGGCCCTTTTTTGCTGCCCATGCATGTAGCATTAGCGCAGTTTTTGCAGAATTCTTCTGGGCTATGCTAAATGTTAGCAGAATTCTGCTATGTTACGCTGCACTAACCACTACGGTCAGCGTAACGGCCCACCGTTGGTTTCACCCAAGTTTGAATTGACACCTATCAATATAAGTGAAATAATCAATGATAACTGATTTTACCAAGTTTTTCATGAAATCAAGGCCCCTTTGGCTGATCATCAAGTGTTGCTAGTGGTACATCACATTGTGCTTCAGAAAAAGTCTCATAGATGGATTTCAGGGAGCCCAGTTGCCTCAAACTGGATACATAAGTTGTCCCCACTCATCTCTACATGGGGGAATGAGACTTAGGTAACATGAATTCATTCGAGCTAGCCTGGTTGCCCTGTATGTAGAACTAGATCATAGTTGCTTTTGAAGATGGCAGTGGAGTGCATGCAGTAAAATCTGGCTTGAATTAAAATAATCAGGGAAATCCCAGACTCACTCTGGTTTGGTTGCAAATTTTCCTCTCATTCCATTGTCATTTCAGTGGTGAAGCGGTAAGGCACCCACAAGCAATGGTGAAACCAATACAATACGTGTATTTGTACTCATTGGTATTTGTATCTGTTTTTCTCTCAATACATTGTATCTGTATTGTATCAAAAACAGATAATATACAAAGGGTCTTAGTCAACCAACTCCCAAATATTGGAGTTCCAACTCCCAAATATTTGGGGTGTCGAGAGGACCGTCTGCGGACAGTCCCCTGGACGTCAACCCCCCCAAGAATTTTTTCTCCCCGGTTTTTTGGGAGTCGGACCTCAGAAGAAAATAAGAAAAAAAAAGAAAATTTTTGATCCCCCCCCGGGGTTTTTTGGGAGTGCATACTCCAAAAACCCCATGGGGGGTAGAGAGTTGGCTGGCGCTGGAAAGCCCTCAGAGGCTGAGAGGGATTCCTCTCGGCCTGCTGAGAGCTGTACACCCTCAGCGGCCAGGAGGAATCTTGGTTGCTGAGGGCTGTACACTATCAGCAAGCCAAGAGGAATCTCTCCCAGCTGCTGAGAGTGTACGACTCTCAGTGGCTGGGAGGAATCCCTCTTGGCCTGCTGATAGTTTACAACTCTCAGACTCTTGGTGGCCGGGAGGAATCCCTCTTGGCCCGCTGAGAGTTGTACACTCTCAGTAGCTGGGAGAGATTCCTCCTGGCCGCTGAGAGTGGACAGCTCTCAGCAACCAAGAGGAATCCCTCTTGGCCTGCGAAGAGTTGTACACTCTCAGCAGCCGGAGAGATCCCTCCCGGCCACTGAGAGTATACAGCTCTCAGCAACCAAGAGGGATTCCTCTTGGTCACTGAGAGTTTACAACTCTCAGCGGGCCAAGAGGGATTTCTCTTGGTTTCTGAGAGTGTACGTGTCTCTTGGCCATCAAGAGTGTACACTCTTGGTCGTCAAGAGTGTACACTCTCCACAGCCAAGAGGAATCATCCCTGCTGCCAAGAGGGTATACTCTCGACGGCCGAGAGGAATCATCCCGGCCGTTGTGGAACTCCTATTGTGCCAGGCGGTAGGCAGTTGGTTGAAGGGAAAGTGCTTTGAGGGCTGCCTTCAAGTGGGGTCCAAATGAGTGAGCTGTGATCTGAACAAAAAGCGCTCTCCACAGCCAAGAGGAATCATCCCTGCTGCCAAGAGGGTATACTCTCGACGGCCGAGAGGAATCATCCCGGCCGTTGTGGAACTCCTATTGTGCCAGGCGGTAGGCAGTTGGTTGAAGGGAAAGTGCTTTGAGGGCTGCCTTCAAGTGGGGTCCAAATGAGTGAGCTGTGATCTGAACAAAAAGCGTTGGGGTTGGCTGGTTTTCTGAGAGGAGACAACAGAAGTGGAGTTCTGTGGCAGTTGTTGAGTCTGAGTGATCTTGAGGATGTGTATGAGGATCAGAAGTATGAATGATAAGAAGATCAATAAGATTTGAGGGGTCTATCTTTGATCAGATCCAAGTGCCATGGTTCCCCATCATCTCAGTTCAAACTGAACTTTGACTCTGGGGAGTGACATGTCACAGACATGTCATCACATCCCTAACTACAACACAACTCAACCAAAAAACAAAAACAAGACCACACTACACAACACTACACTACACAACACAACACACACAACACAACACAACACAACACAAAACAAAACAAAGCAAAACAAAACAAAATAATCAAGAGTGGAATAAACCAACATAGTAAGATGTCTTAGGACCAAGAAAATTAAACAAAACTGTCTGCTGAGTAGGTGATTTGAAAAAAATAATAAAGAATGATAAAATGATAAGATAAAAATAAAATCAAGATGAATAAAAAATAATATGAAGATAAAATAATCAGAGGAAGTAAATAATAAAATGAAACAAAAACATAGTAAAATAATATATGGAAGGAAACGGGTTGGACTGAGAGGGGATTGAGGTGATATGTGAAATCTGAGGCTTGAGGAAATTGATACTCTAAAAACCCCGGGGG